TTCTCAATATTTTTTTCTATTCTATCTTCTAAGTCACAAATCCTGTCTTTTGTTTGTATTCAATCGTCTACCGAATTAAAGTTTTTAGCTTCAGTTATTGCTTTTTTTCATCTCTAGATGTTATTTGGTTCTTTTTAAAGTCTGTGATTTTTTATTTTATGATTTCCTATTCCTGGTAGAAATTTTAAAGTTTATGATTTACTTCTATATCATGGTAATCATAGTCAGTCTAAAACATGTATCTGAAAAGCCTTGCCTGGAACTGCTGTTAGGCCTGTTGTCAATTTCTGTTGCTTAGAGAGTTCCAGGACCTAGTTCAATATTACAGAGAGATTTGGGGTTTGCTTCTTTCAGTTCTCTGTGGTATGTTTAGTTGGGATGACTTCAAATCAAGTTTAAGTTCTGAGGGTCCATCTAGACCTTGCTTAGCTGATGTGCAAAGACATGGGAGATTTGGTCTTATCACAGCATGAGGTTTCCTTTTGCTTTTCCTGTTCTTTTTCCTCTCCTAATTGGTTCAAAACCACAGCATCCCATTCTGTAGTTATCAGAGTTTAAAGTAACTATAGGGGGTCAAGCTCTGGTTTGTTCTAACTGAGGGTGGGGTTCAATATAAATGTCTTCCACATGACTCCTCCCACTCATAATGGTGTGTCCTGACAAAGAATCAAAAGACAAGTATTTGTGATAGTAGTTCATACTTTCTCAACATAGGTAACCTTGGTGCTCTAATATTCCGTTCTATTGCCTATTACTAGAACTACAACTTCTATTGCTGTTCTTAAATCCCCGCCCCCCCCAACACACACACACACACACACACACACAGGTTCACCATGCTATGGCTAGGTGTGATTTTCTTTTTTTTTTTCCCCCTCATGAAAGTAATTCATTTGACTTTTTATTTGTGGATTGTATCTTCCATCAGTTCTGGAATATTCTCAACTATTATGACTTCAAGTATTGTGTCTACTATGCTTTGTATCTCCTCTTTCCAGAACTCCAGTTACACTTATATTAGATTCTATAACTCTGTCCTCATCATTTCTTAATCTTGCATTCATATTTTTCACTCTTTCTATGTGCTACTGTATTAATCTCCCAGAGCTGCTGGAATAAAGCACCACAAATTGGTGGTTTCAAACAAAAGAGAATCATTCTCTCATAGTTTTGAAGGCTAAAAGTCCAAAATCAAGGTGTCTCCAGGTGTTGATTCCTTCTGGATGCCCTGACGAAGAATTTGTTCCATATGACTCTCTTACCTTCTGGTAGTTGTTGGCAATCTTAAGTGTTCCCTGGCTTTAGATACATTGTTCCAATCTCTGCTTCTGTCTTCATATGGCCTTGCCCTATGGGTCTTCTCTATATCTGAGTTAAAAATATCCCTCTCTTTTCTCTTTAAGGACAGAAGAAATTGGATTTAGGGCTCACCCTAAATATAGGATGATCTCATCTCAAGATCATTAATTTAATCACATCCACAAGGACCCCATTTCTAAATAAAATCATATTTACTAGTACTAGGGGTTAGAATTTGGACATACCTTTTTGGGGGCAAAGTTCAACCCACTATAGCTACATTCTGATTAATTTATTCATATAAATCTTCTTGTTTATTAATTTGGCTTTCCTTGTATCAAATATGCTTTTAAACATGTTCATTTAAATTTAAAAAATTTCAACTATATTTTCCTCTTTCAAAAATGATTACTCTTTCTTTCAGTTTTTCTCTGCACATATTTTAAAGCTGATCTTTATTTTCTTAAATATAAAAAAAAACATGGTTATATATATTTGTTTAAAGTAAGTATAATAGGGCGCCTGGGTGGCTCAGTTGGTTAAGCAACTGCCTTCGGCTCAGGTCATGATCCTGGAGTCCCTGGATCGAGTCCCACATCAGGCTCCCTGCTCAGCAGGGAGTCTGCTTCTCCCTCTGACCCTCCCCCTCTCATGTACTCTCTCTCATTCTCGCTCTCTCAAATAAATAAATAAATCTTTAAAGTAAGTATAATATCTGAAGTTTTGTGGGTCCATTCCTATTGTTTGTTGCTTCCCTTGGCTCATAGTGCCTTGTTTTCTCATATTTTTAGTGAATTTTAATTGTGAGTAGTTCAATTTAATTAAAAATTTGCTTTTTGAGATTCATGGGGACCTGGTATTATTATTATTTATTATTTTTTTCCAAGTTTTTATTTAAATTTTAGTTAGTTAACATACAGTATAATACTAGTTTCAGGAGTAGAATTTAGTGATTCATCACTTGCATACAACACCCAGTGCTTATCACAACAGACCTGATATTATTGTGGGCTCATTCAGAAAGTGTGTGCATTTTGCTTCTGCCAGAGCCTGGGATAACTTCTTGTTTGGGACTACTTTAAACTAAATTTTAGTTTGAGAGTTTGCAGATGACTCAGACACTTTAAGTTTTCACTTTAAGTCAACATAATGGCCAGATTATGGATTCAACTTTTTAGGGATGTTGCTTTCCTCTGCTAAATTGCCAAGTTGCAGACTTTCACGTAATCTTTTGTGAAAGTGAGTGGTATTTCTAGTTTACTCTTATACTAAGGTATAGCACTTTGGTGCCTCTGACTTAAAAGAGGAAAGATTTCTGCTTAGACTCTCAACCTTAGACCCTGAAATTTTCCATGTACCTCCATGTGTCATGAAAACTGAAATCCAAGTTCATCTAGTTTGGCAAATCTCCTCAAATTCCTCTTACCTCTCTGGTTCCCATCATCACAAAGTCTCAGGCTTGAGTATTCCTTACTTTCATTCCATAAAACATTAATAAAATGTTTTAAAGCTTTTATCTAGCACTTTAGTTGTCTATAGTGGAAGTTTAGTCTAGTAATATCATCCATCTTACCGGAAACAGAAATCTCCTTTTTCTATTTGAGTCAATTTGGATGGTTCTTATTATTTTAGAAAAAATGTTTATAGCAACTACATTTTCTTTTCAAAATGATTGGCCTAGATTTTTTTATCATATAGTTTCATGTGTTTTAAAATTTCAACTGTATTGTGGTTATGACACAATCTTTATTTATAGTTGATTTTTACCTTTTCTCGTTGTTTTTCTAACTTAGGCCAATAATTAATAGAGACAAATAAATAGCAATTAAAATAAAATGTAATAAGATCTGTGAAGTTTCTATGAGTGCATTATGGAGGTACTCACAAAAGACATTTTGTCAAGATTTAAATGGGGAGATGTGTGGAAAGCTCTTAGCACACTATCTCATACTTATAAAGACCTCAATAGATGTTAAACTTAGTAGTACTAGGGAAACCTTCCTTAGGGCAAAGGAATTATCCAAAGGGATCATTGGATGAATGGGAAAAATAAGTCCGTATAAATAAAGCTCAGAGCAACTAAATAAACTTCAATAGACCTAAGTTAGTATAAAAGGGTAAGAACAGTAAGAGGTGAGGCTGGAGGGCTAAGAGTGGGGCATATCATGTAGGTCCTGGTAAATATAATAAGAAATCTGAATTTTATCCCAAGAGAAACATAGTGTCGAAGGTTTCCCTATAACTACCACTAAAATGACCAATTTTCCTTTAAGGGAGTTGGGAGATACACAAAACTTCAAGAACAAAACCAAACTCTTCTGTCCTTTTCTCTGCCTTCTCTACATTTGGTTCTATATTAGATATGTTCTGATTTTATGCCTTATTACATATGGTTATTAGATGATTTAATTTAGCTTATAGACAATCCAATTAAGCTTTTTCTGGCCCAAAAAACATGTGGTTGGCAACCTCTAAGATGGCCCCCAATGATTTCCGCTCCCTGGTATTCACACCCATTGTAAACTCCTGCCCTTGAGTGTGGGCTGAACTTTTTGACTCACTTCTAAGGAATATAATATGGCAGGATTGATATGATGGCACTTCTGAGTTAGATTATAGAAGGATTATGGCTTGTTTGGGGTGCTGTATTTCATGCTCTCTCTTGGATCTTTTGTAATAGGGGAAACCAACTGTGATGTCATAAGGCAACCCTGTGGAAAGTTGCATGTGGCAAAGAACAGGCCTACCAAGAGGCATGTGAAAAATTTGAAAGTAGATCCTTTTCCATTTGAGCCTTCAGATAAATGCAGCCCTAGCTGACATATTGATTGTAGTCATGTGAGAGACTATGAACCAGAATCACTCAACTAAGCTGCTCCCAGATTCATCACTCACAAAAAATGTGAGATAATAAATTTATGTTCTCAGCCACTAAGTTTTGGAATAATTTGTTATGCAACAATGGATAACTAATATACCTGGCTTGCTGGCAGGGCAATCAGTCTGAGTCACAGAAAACATATTTGAGATATAGGAATGAAAATGTAATGATTGAGATCATAAGCTATTTTATTTATTGAAGAGATAAAATAGTACATTAACAAAACCTTATTTGATAGAAAAATAACACCAAAACTCTTACAAATGTGATTATTAGCTAAACCACCAGAGATACTGGTTCTGCTGAGTTCTTCCATAGCTAGGTAACTCAAAGGCTAAGAGATTGGCTGAAGTCAGGATATGAATCACTGGACAGTTTCTTCTGGAAAGACAGAACAAATCAATAAGGCCCCTTAATAAGGAAGTTGCAAGAAACCTTACCCTTTGGAGAAAGTACTCTGTCATTCCTGTAGTCAAGGACCAGGCCCAGCCAAAAGGAAGCAGAGGGTTGTGACAATGAGTCTGGCCCCAGAGCTCCCTTCAGCTTGTCTTTTGTTTGGCTTTGGAGAGTGGATTGGGCATGATTTAGAGGCTAGAGCCTTATTTGACAATAAGAAGATGCAAAAATTCAAGTCCCAGACCCATCCTTTGACCTTGAACCATTAGTGCTGCAGGTTCTCTTGGCTTCTCATGTCCAAAAAATGCTCAGATATTAGTGTCACCTCCTTGAGGGACATAGCTGTCCCATGAGTGGGTGAATCATTGTTCTGGTGCCTGAGATGGGGAATGCCTGGCTAATACCCTCTTTTCTGATTCTATGATACAGGGACAAAACAGGGAAAAGATGAGAGAGGGACAAAGACACCAGGCCAAGAGGTGATCGTTTAGGACTTCATGCTAATAGCTGATTTTGGCTTTCCAGAGATGAAATAAGCCTCTCCAGCACAAGGCAGTATCATGTCACAGCCCTAGGGCCTGGCTGGTTTTATCAATCTGGCAGTTCAAGGTCAGCGCAAAGGACATCCCCAACACCTGAGAAAAGAGTTGAGAAAATGTGAGGTCTTCATAGGAGGAGCCATCTTTCCCACACCCTTGGGATTAGCCCCAGAGAAAAAGGAAGTGTTCATTACACTGGAACCACCCTTCTTGCCATTACTTCCAATTCCTTCCCTATTCTCTCCTTCAACTTTAGAATGCTAGTGGGGGTGATGTCAAAACAGTAGAGGATAGAGTGTTGGGACATCTTTGTCTCCTTAAGAAATCACTTGTATAGGCAAGTACTGCACAAGTCAACATTTTGTGCAATGAGTCATCTCTACCCGTGCCCTGAGACTCCTTAGTTTCCAAGCAGAGAAGAATTATTTCCCTCTGAGCTTCTTGATTACATCTTAGCCATTCTGTGACATACCCAAAATACATGGGTATAAAAATAGTAGAAATGTCACATAATAAAAAAGAACACAAAACTATCCCCAATTCACCCCTGACTTATCATGCTAAGCAGAGAAACAAGGAGGAAATTGTTTATGATTTTTATCATCAGCTCCTGCTTGGCATACAAGGCCAATTTTTCACAAAAAATGTTTATCCATCACAAGTTTTCCATACCGGTTGAGTGAATGACCAAAGTAGGGGTCTGCTTGATGACTTTTAATTTGACTATGAAGCACTCATAGCTCTTAGGGATAAGTTGACCAGATAGATCTTGCAGCATATTTTCTGTATGCCTTAAATTGGTAATGACATCATTTGCTACATGACTGAGGAAACTCTTATTTATTGAGCATATACTATCTACCAGGAACTGTTCTAAAACTTTACCTGACTTACCTAATTTAATCTTCACAATAGTCCCATGATTAAGTTCTTACCTGGATCACACAAACACAGATGGTGATGATTCCAATGTGCAGGAAGTTGGAGTGAAACCACAGTTTTGCTTTTGCATAGCAACCCTAGAAAAAATTACAAGTACAAAGGATACCACTATATTATTCGACTTTATCAGGAAGTTAATTTCAGAAGATAGTTTATATTTTGCCTTATGCCAAGAAACTTAGGCCATTTTATTTTCTTAGGCCATTTATTTTATTTTCTTTCTGTGGATGAAGAAACAGTCATAAAGTAGAGAATATTAAACTACAGACTTTTCTGGTGTTGTTATCATCACAATGGCACCTAACGCGGAAGTCCTAGATGTCTACACAAAGAGTTAAACTAGCTCCTGAGAGGCAATAGATATCCTTAAGTTCTTTAAACATCCACTGCTGACTTGGGACAAATAAATGGGGAGGTAACCTCTGCAATTCTAGGATTGGTTGCATTTCAGCTTCTGCTGAAACCTAAATCTATCATGGTCCTACCAAGCTCCAGGGCAGGGCTAGTTGGTGAGTGTCTCAGTCTTTCTTTATAGACCTAAAAGGTTCTGGAGATTTCAAACAATCCCAAGGTGGATAACACCAGGTAACAGGAATTTAGGAACTTAATCTTGGAATATAATCTTGGCTTCTTCTCTGGGCCTAGTCTGGAGGTCTGAATTAAGTCAGCAGGTTCTTTCAACAGTTCTACCAACTCTCTCTCCCCCAACTCCAGACTCCTTTACTTATGATTCATTTCACCAAGGGGCTGGATGTTGACATTTCCAAGGAAGAAGAACAGAGAAACAGGAAGAGGGGGAGGTTTTCTACCTCAACTTTACAACTTTCATTTTCAACCATAAGACCTACTTCTTGCTCAAGAAAAATGTAGATATAATCCTCTGTCACTATCACATAAACTTTTCCCCTCTAATGTAATAGTTTAGGATAGCAAGATTTATGATGGCATCGCTAGTCTAATGAGCTTGTTCCTTTTTTTTTTCTTTTGTCTGGACAACTTTTGTCTAATTTGCCTAGTTACCTGGGTTTTCTCCCTGGCCTCTATTTTATCTAAGGTTTCTTGTTTCTGGTTGGGAGGACTAAGTCCTGTATGACTGGAGTTTCTAAGATAATTGAAAGTTTAACCAAAGAAGCTAATAACAGAAAAGTTGCCAAAAAATTACCTGAACTTGTGGACCCGAGGGGCAAGATGCTGGTGGGTAACCGGCCCAATCACTCGTGCCATTTACACCACAACATTGCAGCTAAAAGCCAAATTCCCCAAAAACATGATGGTTAGAAAGTCAACAAAAGGAAAACTGGAATTTGGAGAAAAGGTAGACCCTTCAGATCTGACTCTAGCGGAAAATACAGAATTGGCTTAACTACTATGACTCCTTAGAACAAAATATTTTCAAATCCATTATACCATTTCATTCACATAAGACTCCTTGAAATAGAAAGGGCATGTTTAACTTATTCACATTTTACAGATGAAAAATTAAGCACACAGGGAATTTAGTCTGACATGTTTGGGTCTTCCTTAGATCTTAGTAGGGCTTAGACAATGAGCCTAGCTGAGAATGTGAAGGATGAGAGAATGTAGAGAATCAGACTGATTCCTGTTTGTGACTGCTAAACATTATTTTGGACCTAGGGGTTATGGACCTTAGATTCTGGACCTTTCAAGAAACGAAGTCCCTTTAGCCTCCAGGCACTGAGGTTGGAAAATTAAGTCTGGGCTGAGCTGAGGAGGATTCCATCTGTACTCACAAATGACTGGATGGAATCCCATGCTGCCTTGGTGCTGTTGTCCGTGTGGTATCGCTGAATGCTGTCAGTCAGGCTCTCAGACACATAATTATTCAACTGGTCGGGGCATATTCCGGCAGAGAAGACATTATAAAAAGCAGGTGAGTTCAAGGAACAAGCAATATCTAATAATGGCTGGTGGTTCCATTTGCTCCTCCCTTCCAAATAATCTCCTCAGAGCTAAGGAAGCCAGGAGAGGGAGAAGTGCTGAGACTGAGATAGCATTGCAGGAAGTACATAGTCTCTTGTCCTTCTAGAACTCTGGTTTTTCAGAAGAAGACAATCAAAGCATGGGCTCTCTTAGGCATGGAGACAGACATTTTCTACTGCCAAACACATGGAGAAAAGGAAGTAGGAGGGAAGATAAACTTGTTTTTACTGCTCTTCCTATTCATCCTTCAAAGCATGATTCAATTGCTATCTTTCATGAAATTTTTTCCCTCCCCATTTACAATTAATTTCTTTCTTCCATCCTTCCACTTTGCCTCTATTACAGGACTTTTTTTCCACGGTCAGAAATACAACAATGAGATGTTCTTTATAGCTTACCTTCTGTTCATACACGAAGAGCAGGATGGCCAAGGTCACCTCAGCAAGGAGGATAATCAGCAGCAGGATAAAGAACTGAGGCAAAGCAGAGACATGCTCATAGCACTGATCCTAGTTCTTCCCTCACTCCCACTCCACCCTGGGAGCATCCAGGCATGTCTCTGCACATGTACAGAAGTTCCTATTCCTGCTTGCTCAGGCCTTCATAAGCCTTTTGTTTCGTGAGGGATATGTGTCATTTTTCTAAAACTAGACTCCAAGTCTCTAGAGGGCAGATCAGCTGCCCTTTAACTTTGTTCTCCCTTTCCCATGTGCCTATACAGCTCCATGCACATAGTGAGTATGCAATACTACTTGTTGAATCAGTGAAGCAATTTTGGCATCAGCTTTTTGAAAGAGTTGAGCAAAAAAGCAGTAAACTAAACTATGTGCCTTTAGAGTTTGGGGCCTGGTCCTTTCTGCAAGATCAGGGCTAGTTTGGGGTTGGGGACAGGTGATGGTGGAAGTTGAGAGGAGCCCTGTACAGATGGGAAGAAGAGGTATTCTAATCATAGTCCTAACCCTTATTTACTTCCAACTGTAGATGCTTACTCCCTTTATGCTAATCACACACAGCAGAAAATACATTTTCACTTATTCTCCTTCACCTTTTCATCCCAACATTAATTTTGACTGTTTAAACCTGTTTAGCCTTTTCCTTATGTCTATTATCTCCCATATTATGCCATTAATCTGGGAACTGAAAACAAGAACTTTTTTATTCTATGTCTGGGCTCCAGTCTGACCCATAAGGGAAAGAAGATTAACCAAATGACTTAAGGAAGAACCAAGGTGACTGAGTGGATGGAGTGGCACTGTTATATCAAGCACTGTTCTGTGTACACTTAGAGATACCAAAACTCTTCTCTCATAGAGCTTACAGACAAAACCTAAGCCTAAAGATGCTCTTCATGACACTTAACTGACAGGGAACAACTGAAAAGCTCTAGCATCTCTCACGTTAGATCAAAATGGCTGCCACCTAGGTCCTCACTTAAGTTGGGTCATCACACCATCATGTATCTTGTGCAGATTTGAGATAGAGAAGCATATTCTGCCATTTTAGGAGGGTCACAGTACTCAGAAGAATCTAGAGACTAGATTTTCCATCAGTTAGTGACTCTGACTCAGATCCTAAAAACATACTAATGTGAAAAGCATTTAGGCAGATGGATGACACTTGATTTCAACGAGACATGAAGAAATAAAATGCCATAAAGGGAAATTATGACAAGGGTCATTATTAACACTGTACAATGAATCCCAAGGAGGACAGCAATGTCCTCTTCCATCTATCCCTGGGACCCCAGTCAGAAGCAAAATACTATTGGTCTAGACAGATTTGACTGGCCTAAAGTGCCAATCCTATGTTCCTATAATTTCCCTGTGCCCATAGGTTAGCCACCAAGAAACATCTTTCCTGGGGCTTAAGGCATCATGTCTCTCTACTTAGGGTACCACATCTGCTGCAAGAGACTCACCGACATAAGCAGGCACTTGTTCTCCTTGATGGAGCCCATGCAGCCCAGAAAGGCAACCACCATGATAATGGAGCCCACGATGATAAGCACATTGCCCAGTGTGAGGGAAGGGAGCAGGTTGAAATTGTTGTGGATCAGGAGATAGATCCCAAAGCCCAAAATGCAGCAACCACAGAACTGAAAGAAAGAATTCCACAACACTCTTGAATATCTCTTCACATTCTCACTTGAGATTAGGATGGGGGGATGGGGTAACCGGGTGATGGGTATTAAGGGAGGCACATGTTGTGATGAGTACTGGGTGTTATATGCAACTAATGAATCATTGAACACTACATCAAAAACTTATGATGTACTATATGCAGGCTAATGAACATAATAAAAAATTTTAAAAAAATAAAGAAGTTTTGCCACCAATGAATCAAAAAAAAAAAAATCACGTCTTTCCATTGGCTCTATCAAGACTCTCATGAACAACCTCTTTACCCAACTTTCCCCATGCACCTAGAAAAGAGGTGATCCTACTTTCCTCCTGTGATGTCCCACTCATGCTTCATTCTACCCATATCAGATACCAGGAGAAGCTCACTGTGAGTCATATAGTATCTTCATGCTTCAGATCCCCTACTCCTTGTTCCCACCACATCCTACACATGGTCTTCCCTTTGGAAACCACAACCATGTAGAGGGGATGCCCTGGCTGAGAAGTTTATCTTGCTAGGCAGAAAACTAGAGAAGCCAAACTTTTAAGAATCTTCTCATAAACACGAGTGCAAACTAATCCTATATTTGAAATTCAATTGCTAAATTTGGTATGGTGAAACCTTCCCAGAAAAGGTGATGTCCTTTTTTTTTTTTTTGTATATGGATGATTTTTATTTTTTATTTTATTTTTTTTCACATGCTCAATAAATATTTATTTCTTTTTTTTTATTATTATGTTATATTAATCACCATACATTACAACGTTAGTTTTTGATGTAGTGTTCCATGATTCATTATTTGCATATAACACCCAGTGTTCCATGCAGAACGTGCCCTCTTTAATATCCATCACCAAGCTAACCCATCCTCCCACCCCCCTCCCCTCTAGAACCCTGTTTGTTTTTCAGAGTCCATCGTCTTTCATGGTTAATCTCCCCCTCCGATTTCCCCCCACCTTCATTCTTCCCTTCCTGCTATTTTTTTTCTTCTTCTTCTTCTTCTTCTTCTTCTTCTTCTTCTTCTTCTTCTTCTTCTTCTTCTTCTTCTTCTTTTCTTCTTCTCTTCTTCTTCTTCTTCTTTTAACATAAAACTTTCAATCAGCTATTCATCCAAGGGATTAAGGGGAGGAGGGGAGCAGGAAAGTGTTACTTATACACAGACTGTAAAGTCTCAGGTTTCTCACCCATAGATGTCAGCAGTGAGCAACAGTAGCCTAGAGTCCCCAGAGAGAGAAAGAGCATGCCTATAGATAACGGCACTGGATAAAGAAGATGTGGTACATATATACAATAGAATATTACTCAGCTATCAGAAAGGATGAATACCCACCATTCACATCGACATGGATGGAACTGGAGGGGATTATGCTAAGTGAAATAAGTCAAACAGAGAAAGACAATTATCATATGGTTTCACTCCTATGTGGCACATAAAGATTAGCACAGAAGACCATAGGGGAAGGGAGGGAAAACTGAAAGGGGTGGGGATCAGAGAGGGAGACAAACCATGAGAGACTGTGGACTCTGGGAAACAAACTGAGGGTTTCAGAAGGGATGGGTGTGGGGAGATGTGGTAGCTGGGTGATGGGTATTAAGGAGGGCATGGTTGTGATGAGCATGGATGTTATATGCAACTAATGAATTGTTGAACACCACATCAAAAACTAATGATGTAGTGTATGGTGGCTAACTGAACATAATAATTAAAAAAAAGATAACTGCATTGGTACTTCTCAATTTTACAGGCTTATACAATGGCAGAATGGGAAGAAGGGAAATTATTATTCCCTTGTTGTAAGTTGGGTATGCCATTCAGACATGCATGGGTTGCTCTCCATACCAGGCTTCAGTAGAGGAGAAATAGAGTGTAGCTAGGAGGAGATGAACTCCTCATGCTCAGAAGAGGCACACTTACCCAAAAGAGCAAGTTGAAGAAAAACAGAACGTACTTCAGCAATTTCAAGCCACTCATGCCCATGCTGGGATATTCTTACTCTAAAAAGTGAAAGGAAAAAAAGAAGAAGTAAGTTACCTGGCTCTGTAAGGTGGCACCTGGGTTCAAGATCTCCAGCATCACCTTGGGTTTGAGCTGTGACTCTCCTCTAAGAAGTTTCCCCAAAATCCCTGTTTTCTCAGTCTCTGAACTAAGGTACCAATTGGCTTAACTTGGACACGTACTTTTGCTCCAATTCAGCAAGCCAAGAATGCTTATCACTGAATTAAGCACTGTAGAGGAAAGCAATAGAGTTGCTCTTAGAGGAGAGTGAGTCACAGTAACACACAGTAGGCCAATGCTCAGAGACTAGTGCTTGGGCATTTACTCAAGGCAGAGCAGGGGTCAGGAATTAATCAGGTGTGGAAGTCAGTGACTTGATCAGCCAGTTCCTTGTATGCCCTGAGATGCATGTATATACTACATTTGGTCTATAAACCTCTCCACATGAAAATGGGGGAACATACCTACGTATGATTCATTCTTTTACTGAAGAAACATTTATGATGTTTTTTGTTCTAGATACTGTGGGAGATATAACTGTGACTAAACAGTAGCTATCTTCCAGGAGATGTCAATCTTATAGGAGAGATAAAACTAGCTATCAAATATCCAGTGGAGAAATGAAAAGAGATAGCAATGGGAGCTTGATTTAAAAAATACATATAATTTCATTTTCTCAGACAGAACATTAATGTGCAAACCCTCATCCTCAATTACACAATTTTGAATTTTCTCTCAGACACAATTAGATTCTATAGAGTAACTCACATTTTAAAACTGCATATAAGACTGCTATATAAAGCAGAATGTCATTTTATTGTTTTTTTTTTCCCATTAGAACTATGCCTTTTCTAGTGTATAGATTGTTTGTACAATCCATTGCCTGTACCCTCTTAACAATGTCAGAAATCAGATGGTCTTGAGGAAGAGGTCATCTAAGCTCTTGATAAGCTTGATGAGCTATTTGTGTTCCACAGTAGAATAATCTCTGTTGAAAAGACCAAATATATATATTTATCTCATACTATTTTCCTTTTCCTTTACTTTGTCCTTCTTTTTCCCTTTCTCCTTCTTGTCTTGACCCTCAGGATTATTCTTAATTCTTCATCAATATTTTAGCCAAGTTAAAGTAAAATTGATTATATTATAAGTGTGTTTGTATATACTTGAGAGGTTAATATGGTGATTTACTACATAGGCTTTGAGGTCAAACTTGAATTCAACTCTCACATATGCCACCAAATAGCTACATGACATTTGGAAATTTACTTAACATTTCTAGTCACAATTTATTCCTATGTAAAATGTGGGTAATACTTACACCTCTTAGGGTGGATGTGAAGATTAAATGATATTATAACAGAGACTGATATATGACCATACTCAGTAAATGGAACCCATGATTATTTAGTTTTAAAGGAACTCTCTGGGAAGGGAGAAATGGAAGAATACTATAAGGTTCTATTATGTGGTGTGGTAATGCTACTTGAAGATAGACCGTGATGGATTAAAGATGTACAGTATAAACCATAAGGCAGCCTCTAAAATAACAAAACAAAGAATTATAATTAGTAAGTCAGCAAAGGATAAATAAATAAAACCTTAAAAAAGTAAACCAGCGAAGGAGATAAAATTTTTTCTAAATACTGGATTAGTTGAAAGAAGCCTGACAAAAAGAGGAAAAAGGAAACCGCTATGGTCTGAATGTTTGTGTCCCCATAACATTTACATGTTGAAATCCTAATGCCCATGATGGTGTAGGGATGTAGGGTTTTGGGAATCAATTAAGTCATGAGGGTGGAACCCTCCTAAATGAGATTAGAGCTCTTATAAAAGAGACCCCAGAAATCTTCCTAGCTCCTTCCATCTTGTGAGGACACAACAAAAAGTCTGCAACCCAAAAGAGAGGCCTCCCCTGACCATGTTAGCATCCTGATCTTAGATTTCCAGCCTCCAGAACTGTGAGAAATATATTTCTGTTGTTTATAAATTACCCAGTATGTAGTATTGTGTTATATAGCAAACTGCACAGACTAAGACAAAAACAAAGAACAGATGAGGAAAACAAAAAACAAATAGAAAGATGGGACAAATAGAAAACAAATATGCTCAACTCTAACCATATTAATAGCAAGTAAATGAAATGGCCTAAGTACTCCAGGTATGCCCCAAGATAGCTAATTGGGTTAAAGAACATTAAGTAATGAATTATCAGAAAAAGAAGAAAACAATCCCATTTAAAATAGCATGAAAAACATAAAATGCTTAGGAATAAGTTTAACCAAAATGGTAAAAGATCTAGACACTGAAAACAAGACATTGATGAAAGAAATGTAAGAAGACACAAATAAATGGAAAGATATTCCATGCTTCTGGATTGGAAGAATTAATATTGTTAAAATGTCTACACTACCCAAAATGATCCTCAGATTGAATGCAATACATATAAACATTTCAATGGCATTTTTTACAGATACAGAATAAACAATCCTAAAATTTATGTGGAACCACAGAAGACCCTGAATAGCCAAAGGAATCTTGAGGAAGAAAAACAAAACTAGAAGCATTACACTTCCTGATTTCAAATTATATTACAAGGCTATAGTAATCAAAATAATATGACATTGGCTTAAGAACAAACACATAAATCAATGGAACAGAATAGAAAGCCCAGAAATAAATCCATGCATATATGGTTAATTTATTTATAACAAAGGAGCCAAGAATATACAATGGGGAAAATATGGTCCCTTCAATAAATGGTGTTGGGAAAACTGGTCAGCTGCAAACAAATGAATGAAATAATCTATCTTACACCAATCACAAAGATAAAATAAAAATGGATTATAGACTTGATACAAAAATAGTGTTTCAAAGGGGGCACATGTACCCCCAATGTTTATAGCAGCAATGTCAACAATAGTCAAAATATGGAAAGATCCCAAATATCCAGCAATAGATGAATGAATATAGAAGATATGGGATATATATACAATGGAATATTACTTAGCCATCAAAAAGAATGAAATCTTACCATTTGCAACAATATGGATGGAACTAGAGGATATTATGCTAAGTGATATAAATCAGTTGGAGAAAGACAAATACTATATGATTTCACTTATATATGGAATTTAAGAAACAAAACAGATAAACATAGGTGAAGGGAAAGGAAAATAAAATAAGATAAAAACAGAGAGGGAGGCAAACCATAAGAAATGCTGAACTCTAGGAAACAAACCAAGGGTTGCTGGAGGGGAGATGAGTGGAAGGATGGATAATTTAGGGATGGGGATTAAGGAGGGCACTTGATGTAATGAGCACTGGGTGTTATATGCAACTGAAGAATGACTAAATTCTACACCTGAAACTAATGCACTATATGTTACCTAATTGACTTTAAATAAAAAATTAAAAAGTGAATTATAGACTTGAATGTAAGGGTTGAAACCACAAAACTCCTAGGGGAAAACATAAAGGGTAATCACCTTGACATTGGCCTTGGCAAGGATTTCTTGGCTACAACACCAAAACAAAGGCAACAAATGCAAAGATAAACAAGTGGGTCTGTACAGCAAAGAAAACCATCAACAAAATGAACAGGCAACCTACTTAGTGGGAGAAAATATTTGCATAATATATCTGATAAGAGATTAATATCCACAATATATAAAGAACTCATGTAATTCAATAGCAAGAAACAAAAACAAAAACAAAAATCTGATTTACAGATGGGCAGAGGAAGTGAATAGACATTTTTTCAAAAAAGACATACAAGTGGCCAGCAGGTATAAAAGAAAAAGATTCTCAACATTACTGATCAGCAAGATGGAAAATGCAAATCAAAACTGTGATGAGTATCACCTCATACCTGTTAGGAAGGTTATCATTAAAAAGACAAGATATAACAAGTGGTGAGAGGATATGCACAAAGGCAGCCCTCATGTACTATTGGTGGGACTATAAATTGGTTACAGCCACTATGGAAAACAGTATGGAGAGTTCTCAAAAAATTAAAAATAGAACTACTATACAATCCAGCAATTCCACCTCTGGCTATATATCCAAAGGAAAGGAAATCATGGTCTCAAAGAGGTATCTGCACCTCCATGTTCATTGTAGCATTACTTACAATAGCCAAGACATGAAAACAACCTATGCCCATTGACACTTCAACTAAAAAAAAAAATGTGGTATAGGGATGCCTGGGTGGCTCAGTTGATTGGGCGTCTGCTTTTGGCTCTGGTCATGTTCCCAGGATCCTGGGATTGAGTCCTTGCATCGGGCTCCTTGCTCAGCGGGGAACCCACTTCTCCCTCTGCCTGCCGCTCCCCCTGCTTTTGCTCTCTCTCTCTCTGACAAATAAATAAATAAATAAAATCTTTAAAAAAATATGGGATAGTGACGCCTGGGTGGCTCAGTCAATTAAGCGGCTGTCTTCGGCTCAGGTCATGATCACAGGGTCCTGGGATCGGCCCCACATGGGCTCCCTGCTCAGCGGGGAGTCTACTTCCCCCTCTCCCTCTTCTGTTCCCCCTGCTTGTGTGCTTGCATGCTCTCTCTCTCTCTCTCTCTCTGTGTGTTAAATAAATAAATAAAATCTTTATAAATAAATAAATAAATAAAGTGGCATAAATATACAAAAGAGTATTATTCAGCCATGAGAAAGAAGGAAATCCTACCATTTGTGACAACATAAATGGACCTTGAGGGCATTCTCTCAAAACTCAGGAAACAAGCAATCCCATTTGAAAATGGAAAAGAAAAACAAATGGACAAAAATCTGAACAGATAGTTCACCAAAGAAGATACATGGGTGGAAAAAATGTACATGAAAAAGTACTCTATTTCATTAATCATTAGGGAAATGTAAATTAAAACCAAAATGAGATACTGCTATCTACCTCCTAGAGTACCTAAAATTAAAAAAACAAAGACAAAAAAACTGACCATACCAGGGGTTGATCAGAATGTGGTTGGTGAGAATGTAAAGGGGTAT